CAAAACAAGCCGTCAAAATACTTTGCATTTGGTACATGTCATCTTTGACCGAACGAATGAGTCTCAATTGTTTGTTATACTGTATGTATTCGTATTCTTCATTAATGGCTTCATGAACGATAGCAGTTGTTGTGTTCTCTGATGTTGTCATTACTGTCTTTACATACAGGATAAAAAAATAAATAAAATAAAAACTAACTTTATTTTCTGACTTTCACAAAAGACCAAAAATAAACGCTTTACATGTATTTTTCAGCAACTGCGTCAAATAATTTTATAGCTTTATCTATCTCATCTACTTCAAACGTTTCTTTACCTTTCGTGGGAGCACCATACATTTTCTCAAAAACTTCAAGCAGTTCTGTTTCAGCAGCTCTCATATCATTAACAAACACAACCTTGACTCTATTGACTGTACTGTCATATCTTTGAGTTATATTATATGTCCTTCCTATCTTATATCTTTTTGTGTTGAAGTCCTTCGGTTTCTGAACGATGTAAAGTAAGCCTTCACTGCAACGTTCCGTATCGAATGAACCATATGTTATGAAGTTATATCCAACAACTGGGTCTAACCATAACAAAACTATTGGTATAAGACTTTTGTCTATAAGATATGCTCTTGTTCCATGAAATGCTACTGATATCATAAGCTCAGGATTTCTTGTCAAAATTTTCTGAGTTGAAGCAATTCTAACCCAGTCCTGCGGTCTCTTTCCAGATGGAGATATAATGTCTGACAAAGAATATTTGTTGTATTTCTTTGAGTATCTTACGTTTAAATCACCTATTCTAACCACTTTGGTGTCATTGTCTATCTTTCCAACTGTTTCAAACTCAATGTTTGTCATTTCTTTCTTTAAGTCTGCATAGTCGTTTCTCATACGTTCTATCTCTTTGACGGAGTAGTTATATCTCCTCATTGCTGCTTTACATTTAGAACATTGCGGGTTCATTTTTGCGTTATACATTGAAATTTGACCTGCTAGAACAACTAAAGCGTCAATTGCTCTCTTCATCTCAAACATAGCGGGTCTTAGTTGTTCGTTCCATACTTTGCCTCTTCTATCTTTATCTCTTATTTCCCAAACACATTCAGCAACTAACGAAACAAAGTTGTCGTAGGTCTTAAATTCTTCAGATTTATATATGTCAGAAACATTCTTATATACCATATCGCAATCTTTGTCCATAACTTTATGGTTGCAATGATATCCTAGAAACTCATAATTTACCTTTCGTATGAACTTCTTTATTTCTACTGAGTCAGTTGCTTTGACTTCAATTTCGTCGAATTCAGGAATAGTTAGTTTTTGATGCTGAATTTCAGGTAGTTTAGGTAAATGGTCGATGAGGTCCTCCATTTCATAAAGATACTGTTCATTTGTTTCATCTTTCGCACTACAGTCTAAATTACTTGTTAAAAGTTCTTGCTTAATTCTTTGTATTTCTGTCTCAAAAGTATATGAAGAAGGAATGAAGCTTTTCATCTCTACTAACATTGACGTAGGATTCATGACTAACGAGTTTGGTGCTGTAGTTGTGGACAGAGTCCAGCCGTTCGCGGCTTGAATTGTTGTTGTGCCGATTGTTGAAATCATATCTTTTATACAAAATAAAAAAATAAATAAAAATAAAACTAATTTTATTTTTTCTATCTTAAGGAAATTCATGAAAATTCAAGACCCTTTGGGTCTCGCCGCTTAGCGGCTGAGGTGAGAAAACAGGTGAGAAAACAGGTGACATCTCACCTCTTCACCTATAATATATTTTTGTCTGATTTACATCCAACGAAAAAGTTTAGAAGAATTTTCTTATTCTTTCTGGCATGTTTTTATCTTTCCAGTACTCCCGCTCTAATAGTCCCAGATGAGTTGGTTTAGATTCTCTCAAGTTCTTAGATGGTATAACATCTTCAACGCCTCCTTCATATCTTACTTTATAAGTGTCATCGTTTATGTTGTAGTCAAGTATTTCAATAACCACTCCTCGCTTTGCTTCGTCAATGGTTTCAGCAAGTTTGCCATTACTACTTTCGACTAATTTATGTCGAGGGTAAAATGCTATGGAGTCGTCAGCAGCTTTTATAAGATATCCATTACCTTGCGTAGAGTCTACGATATAATAATTTCGACTTAACCTTAAACGTTTCTTTGTCAACGGTTTGTCGTCAAGAACTACACGAACTTTTGTTCCAGGAATGAGGGTAAATTGTGTTGAATTTCTGATATTTTGTGTTTGACTTCGTTTCTTTTGTATATACTTTTCTTCTTGTTGTTGTGTCATTGAATTTGGTGTATGTCCTGTTGTAGAATGTGTTGAGGAATTGTAAACTTCGATGAAATGTTTCATTGTTTCTTCGGTAAAGTCTCGCTCTTGATTTAAATCTCTGAGAGTCCTTATGAAGCGGTTAATGATACCGAGTATGTTATGGTTATGGTCTTCAGTAGTGTAGTGAGTTATGTTATGCTTAATGAGAAATTCTGTGATTTCGTTGCTGAGGTATGCACTGTCTTGGTCTGATGTTAAAGTACTTGGGCTATGTTCTGCTACAAACTTTTGTAAAACTCTTAACACTTCATGAGTTCCTTTATTTCTCATTATATACGCAAAAGCTTTGCGAGTGTTAACATTTATGAAGATGAGGAATGGTTTATGTCTTCCTTTTCTGCTTTGAATGAGAGTGTCAAATTGGTATGCGTCAGGAGTGTTGGAGTAAATTGGTAAAAAGTAGTCGTAAGGATTTATTTTTGTTTGATGTACAACATTTTTGTCAAAGAACCTTTTCACTTCAGCTCTGTTAGTAAATCCCGAACTCTTTGCAGCTTCATTGAACTTCTTAAATGACCTCCATGGATGTTGTTCGAATACTTCTTTCAAGCTCATTTATGTAAAGTTAAAGATTTTATTCTAGGCTCAAGCGCGTTCATTGAACTCTATTCCATGCAAATACAGTCATAAATGGTGGCATATAATCTGCACCCGAGCCTGTTGGATTTGTTGTGAAAGTATGGACATGATTTCCTCCTGATTCAGTTGGTCGAAAAGTCTTTTTTGCTGCATTGTTATAAGATGGAGATAAAACGTCATTGCCAGCTTCATACTCTGAGTTGTATAATGGGTGGTCTCTTAATGAGTGGCTATGGTCGCCAGAAAAGTTTGTCGTTCCTGTATGAGTGTGCGGTGGAAGGTTTGCTTCAGTAATTTTCTTCGAACCTCCTGTTTGCTTTGAATATCTAGCACAGTATAAGAATTTATCTACAATCTGTTCCCACGTACCGAAACCCAGAACTGTTGCTGGATTTGTTGAGTTCATTGACGTATAAATAGAACCTATAGGATATAATGTTTGAAGTATTTCTGTCTTTAATGTTTGAAGCTCTGTTTTGTCAGCTTTCTTATCTAACATTGCTGGTAGTTCATATGCTTCAAAGTTTCTGGCATGATCTTCGGTATTCCTGCAACTCTTATCTAAATTGTTAAGAGTATCTTTTACGCTTGTACTTGGATTTTCTAATGGTGCACTTGAACCAAGGTCAAAGTTCAATATTATGTCGTCTGCTCTAACAGTAGTGAAGGATTTATGTGTATGGTTCTTGTCAGCTTTCTTATCATATAAATCTTGAGCAGTGAATTTAATATTTTTCATCCTTCATGACATAAACATCTTTACATCTAATGTTTCTCATCGTCGTTATGTCGTCATCCGATGTTAAACCTTGTGGAAAGTTAGGAGGTTTACAATATAATGCATCCCCACCAGTTTCTTCAACCGTTCCTTCAATACTTTCTATACCAACAGTTGTGAAGAAATCATGTGTATGGTTCTTATCTGCTTTCTTATCTAACATTGCTGGTAGTTCATGTGTTTCAAAGTTTCTGACATGACCTTCGATATTCATACATTTGTTATTTAAGGAGTTTAGTGTATCTTTTACGCTTGTACTTGGATTCTCTAAAGGTGCACTTGAACCAAGGTCAAAGTTCAATATTATGTCGTCTGCTCTAACAGTAGTGAAGGATTTATGTGTATGGTTCTTGTCAGCTTTACTGTCTAAAGAAGTTTGAAGTTCATTTATATCGGAGATGTTGTGTTTATGAGATTTCAAAACTTTGTTCGTTGCGTCAAGTTCAACTTTGTCAGCTTTACTTTTAATAGCATCTTCAAACGTTATTTTTGACTTAACTCTCAAAGTAAATCTTGGTTCAACTAATACACCATTAACATTGAAAGTAGAGGCATAAATTTCACCGGTATAACCAAATGCTTCTGGTGCTTTAGCTACATCATACTGTACAGTACAGCTTATGTCATAACCTTTAGCACGAATGTATTTATATCTTCTTTCATTAACATTTTTTGTCTTCGCTTCATCACTTCGTGTTAAATATCCATGGTAGTCCGTTATAATCTGTTCGTCTGAAGTTATATAATGAACGTGGTTTTTTTGCTTTTTCGGCTAATTTCTCATTAACATCATTCACTTCTAATTCAACTCTTCCGCCAGAACTCTTATTATCATTAATCTTTTTCATTAATTCGGTAATTACGTCATAAAGACTATATTCTGTTTTCGGTTTTGTAAATAATGAGTCAAAATTTCTTTTCATCATTACATCGCTGACATTAATGATATCACCAATTCCTTTTTCATTTATTCTCTTCATTAATTCTGCAATAATGACGAATATATAATCTGTTAATTTATTCTCTTCATCGAGGGTTATAGAATGTTTTGAAATTGAATCATTAACTCCTCTAAATAAATCAATAACTTCAGGATACACGTTTTTAATGTCTTGAATAACCCGACCAGTATCCTCGCCACTATGTGGCTCTGAGCCCGTTGGGCTCTGTTGTTCATGTTCTTCGTTCCCGTCGTTACGTGGTTTTATATCTCTAACCATCATCAACGCAGCCATAACCGGAGGGTTTGTTGCTACCTGTTCGAAAATCCGTCCGTTATGTATGGTATATCTAAATAATTTCTTTGTGTTTGTTAAAACATTTGAAACAAGTCTTTTAAAACCATCTACAAAATTTCCTGTTTCACCTAATGTTCTTGCAGCATTTACAAGCTCACCCATTCCCGCTTTTGACCCCAAAAACGTCCATATTGCATTTATTTCACTCTGTATAGTTGTCCATTCAGCGAAACTAACACCCGCATTCGCTAAGCTGAAAATGAAATTCAGTGGATCGAACTTAATTCCACCTTCTTTTTCAATTTCAACGAACTCACTAACATGAGATTTTAAATATTCTTTCGTTAAAATTGTTTTCCCCGATGTTATGTCATTAACGAAACTATCACCGTCAAAAGTTAACGAATTCAATTTCGTCGTTGATGCTTTTATTTCATACACCGCTTTATCGATAGTTTTTGGCTCACCTTCTTTAGAAGCATATGAAACATTAATGAATGAATTATATGTATTCGTGAATGAGTTAAAATCAATGATTTTCATTAATGACGCCTTTAATGATTCATTAACTGTTGAATCCCTTAAAGTAATTAATGAACTGTCATGGGCTTCGCCCTGGTCGCTTCGGTCTGAAAGACCTTCAGGACTCAAAGAGTCCGTTTGCGACTTTATGAAAGGTACACTGCAAACCGTCGAGTTTGGATCAAATGCTGTAGTTGGTGCAGGAATATTAATGATATAAGTCATTAAATCATTAAGTGACGTAAATAATGTTGTCGTTTTTGATTTAATTTCTTTAGCATCTGTTATATATGGTAATTTTATTTCTGTAGTTTCTGAATTAAAGATATTCGCTAAAATGTTTTGTAAACTGTTTTGAACAGCAGTATAAACCGTTGAATCCGGAACTCTTACGATTTCACCGTCCTTAATAAAAGGCATTGCACATGGTGTAGTGCTTGGGTCAAATCTTTCGGGATTATAATTCAACATATATTCTAATGCTTCATATACAGACTTATATACTGTTGTGTCGTTCTTCATGACAACTTCACCATTTACAATGAATGGCATTGTACATGGAGTTAAAATAGGGTCAAACTTTTCATAGTCCTTCCATGTTATGTATTTCTCGGTATTTCCATCACTGATAACAATATATTTGTCAGTAAGTGTGAGAGAGTATTGACCAAAATATAAACGTTTAGCTCTGTCAGCTTCATACGCATATGCAGCAAAGTCATATTTTAATGAGAATAAAATGTTGTTCTATTTGCAAAGTACAGACCCAAACGAATACGGAACAGTAAAGCTACAAACAAACTTAGGTCTTCAGAATGAAGCGCTTGCTTTCAGAGTTGTTGACTTCAATACTATCGCTTCATTCGTTATAACAGATGAAACAGATTTCATGGAGCTTGAAATAGATGGAAAGAAGCACGAAATAAGATTTCACAATAATGTAGAATATAAGATGGAAACATTAGCTGGAGTGTTAAATGCTCTCATAAATACTACAATAAACAAGGATAACGAAGAAAACTTAATGAATGTTAAACTTATTGCAGGAGTTTTGAAGTTCAGTTATGCGAAGGAGTTTAAGATAACACGAATGAGTCATAGAGTTCAATTGCTTCTGGGAGCATACCATATGACATTTCCTTTGAAAAGTATTGACAAAACGATTGAGATGAAATCTGTTCCATACGTATGTTATGGTAATTGTTTATACATTGAGTCAAAAATAGCTAATGTCACAGGTATTTCAGGAGTTAATAGTAAAGGTTCAGTAGAATATAAGTCTTTCTGTTATGCAGTCAATTCAATGTTCATTCCAAACGTTCCTGTCATAGCAACTCATTTAGGTAAATGGGTTCGCATTAGTCCTCATAATTTGAAAGACATGCAATTCAGACTTGTTGACTTTCAAGGAGAGCCTGTAGAACTGAAGGCACCAGTGCGAATGACTGTTGAAGTTGACTTTTTAGAAAATATTAAATGCAACAGCTTACAAGAGAACTCAGAGCTAAAAATATAAAGTATGAATGTTATGTATTAGGTCATGAACTTTGGTTGTTGCTGTTTGATGAAACAAATGAGTTAGTTATGTCAGTCAAGAGAACAGAAAAAGGCGTCAAAGGCGCCGAGCGCAAAGCGCTATATTGTGTTAGTGAAAACTGCACCAAGTCAATAAGATTAGGTTTGCATTATGAAGATGAGTTCGATACTGTTGAAGAAGTTTTGGATAGATATATAAAATTGCTTTAATTTACTAAAACATATTTCAAACAAAGTTTATATTCTGTTGAAAGTTTTGTATACTCGTTCGAATATTTATACTTAAACTCAACTCCTGTAGTTCCTGGTGTTTCAATGATGCGGATGTTACCTATTTTCATGAATGGTGGCGTTTGACCACAGCATTCGATTTCAGGGTCGAGATAGTCAATGACACATTGTTTCCCTGTTATTCGTGATATAACATTTTCAAGGTCCTCCTTTGTTAGAATTATTTGGTTCTTGCTTATAAGATTTGTCAAAAGCTTCTTATCGTCTTTGAGTAAAATTGTTTGGTATAACTGAAGAAGGTAATGGTCTACGTTATCTGAAGGATTTGTTTGAACATTTGTGTAAGGGTTGTCGTTGGCTTCTCTTGAAAGAATTTGGTCCAGTGGTGGATACTCTAACTTAACATCTGATGTAGCGTTAGCGTTTGAAGCTGTGTTTAAATTCACGGCGCCATGCTCATGATGGGCTCTTTGAGCCCTCCCGACTTAAGTTCTGGTTCTTTTTCTTTCAAACACTCTGAACTATAGTTCTTTATGACAATATTGTTTGTCGTTCGTGAGTCAACATTTGATGTTGGTTCAATTGGAACATTAACGGCACCAGCTAAGATGGATTTGCTTCTCATTTCATATAGAATAAAAACCTTTTATATGTATGAAATGAACAATATACTCGACAAGGGTTTGAATGTAAAGCTAACGAATGAAAATATTGTTGAATTCACTGAGACAGGTGCTGTATAAAGATGTAGAACTACTGAACAAAAGAGCTAAGGGAAGAAGCAGGAATATGAACAAAGGGTGGAAGCCTATAAAAATTTATGTCAATGATGGCTCAGGAGGTTCAAACATAAAGTATGCAGAAAGTTATAGAGTTTATGCTCTCAAAGGTGAAAAGCCTTCATTTAAGAACAGCTATTCTAACGCATATCCTCAAAAGTAACGGATGGGGAAGTGGATGATATGAATGACAGCAAAAATATTAACAGAAATGGCGACAGAGATGCATGGAATTTGTTTACCATCAGTCAATTGAAGGTTAAACTTTAAAACAATGTTGGTCGTTCCCATGGAATATTTTTGACTTTAATGGTATTAGTCATGATATGAATCTCAAGGTATGAACGAGGAGAGATGAGAGACTTATATGCTTCCCAAATTTCTTCAAAAGGTAATGTTATACCTGACTGTTTCCAAATGAGTTCAATATCATAGCGTGAGAAACCTTGAAAGATAACGAAGTCAGTTATGAGACGTTTTATGTTTAAAGCAAGGAAACGCCATGTTTGCATAAGTATTGCTACAGTTAAGTGGTAATGTCTGACTTTAGTTATGATGTTAGCTAATGGTGAGTCAGGCTTTGACACTAAACCTTTTCCGGCGAAGTCGTCACAAACGAGCAGAGTGTTTGAAGGATACTTTTTGAAGGGGTATTTTGAAAGTTTTGACAGAATGTAGTTTGTCAGTCGTTTCATATCGTAAACTCCTGAGTATTGACGTAAGTGGTGTTTGTCAATAATTCTTTCCATCTCTTCTGAAGTCTTTTGCATTCCTGACTGTATGAACTCTACAATAGCATAATATTTTCTCTTACGTCGAATGTAACGTTGAAGAAATTCAATGAGTTCGCTATCTGGAACTTTAACGACAGAGGCTTGAACTTTTGACATAAATGTTTTCGCTGTTGAGTCCATAGAGTCTGAAGTTGCTGATATAATGATTTGGTCATAATATGAATCTTGACCTAAACGTTCTGTTATAAGAATATGACGAATGAGGTTAAATGTCTTACCTGAACCCATCTTTCCACAATAGAAATACACACCATTTGAACAGAACTCATAGTCCTTGCTGAAAGGAAGAATGAGAGAAGAGTTAAGTTTGTCTGTAGTTTCATTCATGTCTTCATCTACGTCATGTATTAAATGCTTCATTTTATCTCCATTAAAAATGCAAGTCAGAAATATTCAGAACATAGCACCGAGTCTAACTGACAAGAGTATAAAGATATACTATGAACACGTTATGATGAAACCTACCAAAATTCAAGAAAGTCAGTATACTTATGAATATCCAAGACACTGGGTAGAGTATGTAGGAGGTGAGAAAGCTATTGAAATAAGACAAGTTAGAAGTATTCCAGCAGGAAGACAATATTATTGAAGAACTTTAATGTTTTGAGGTATAATGATGAAACAAAGAAGCAAGATAGTTTTCCCTGTTGCTGTGTATGTGAACTTAGACACAGGAGATGACATGAAAGTTTTTAATACAAAGCTTCAAACGGTAGTGAGAGAACAACTGACTGCGGAAGGGCATCCATTACCTTCAGAAGTTACCATAGTATATAATTTTGAAACAAATGCAATAGATTTTAAAGTCGTCTCTGCAAAGAAGTCAGGTTTTACATTTAATGAAGCAGATGTATATTCGAATGAAAACTTCAAAGCTATTGCATGGTTAGATAATGACGATTGCTTTAAGAAAATATTTAAATACAGTGACTCAACGATGTCAATAGATGACCTTCGTGGAATGTTACCATCGACGTTTACAGTAGAAGGTTCAGCAGGATTGCTTACAAGATTGTCAATTGGTGGTATTTGGTCTCGTGAGAACATTGTTATAAAATCCAGTATAAGTGAATTTGCTGAAGAATCTATATTATGTCTTTCAAACTACATGTATTCGCCACCGAAGCATTATAGTATAACAAACTTTGTCAGTAAGTTTAACATAAGACTTGTCGAACCTTCTTCAATGAAAGATGTTGTGCTACCTAAAGATGGAAAGGATGGACTCATTATTGAGATGATTTTAATAGCATATTAAATGAGCTTGTTCTTAAAGGTCGTTCATGATGAAATAACTGTTGTAGAAGATGTTAGCAATTGTTCAGACATTTTGAAGCGTATAGATGAGATAAGAAAGAAGTTTATGAATGAGAATGTTTATGTTTCATTGACTTTCTCCAGTAACGAGAACTTTTATGAGATAATATTGAAGAGAGATGATTTTAATATGGTGTAAATGGTAGCTTGGACAGCTTTAGGCGCAATGGGAACAAAAGCATTAGCATTTGGAGCAAAAGCACTTGGGCTTATGACGCAGTAAATAAAATGAGTGGAGGAAGAGTTTCGAAGACATTAGATGCAAATAAAGGAAGATTGGAGGCTGGGTTGCAAAGAAGTTAAGATTAAATAAAATAGGGCTCATAAATAAAGCATCCAATTTGGTTGCGACTGAGTCAGAAAATGCTTTAGGAAAGGACGATGAGTTTGCAAAACACGCAAAAGACTTTAATGACCAGATGAAAGGTGAAACAATGCATTTAAATAGAGTCGATGGAACTAAAGAAAATGTTTCTTCTCCACCAGTAGTTCTTCCGTATGGTCCCTATGGAATGTATGGAAATCCTTACGAAAGACCATTTGACCCATTGACTGGTGGAAGTAACTGGTATCATTACGGACGAAGAAGAAAGACAGTCAAGTTGGAGACAGACGTGAAGAAAGCAACTAAAAAGAAACCAAGGAAGAGAGTTATAAAGCAATGAATTCAACGGGTGAGAAAAGAGGTGAAAAAAGAGGTGAGATCTCACCACTTCACCTAAATTTATTTTTGTGCTATGTTTTCATACGTGTGAGGGTGGTGATATCATTAATTTTTAAGTTTATTTTTATATTTTATTTTTATTTTATTTTTATATAAATGACGAAAACTATTGAGATAACAAACTACAACGGTCATGAGTTCAAGAATTTGTTCTTCGTTCCTCGTGAAAATACATTCTATCAGATACGAGGGAGAAAGGGTAAAGTTAGTTTGAGCGTTTATGAAGGAATGAAGAATGGAAAGTTTATACAAGCATACGATACAAACGGTAAACGTGTTTCATTACATTTGTCAAAACTTACTAACATTTATTTTGACAGTGACTTTGACCTATATGAAGAAGAAAGTGAGTCAGAAGATTATGAGCTGTTATGTGAAGCACAGCAATGGGAGGAGTTGCAATACTTTTGTAAGTGAGAACGTTTATTTTTACATTAGTGAAGTCGTTTGTGAAAACGTTAGTGAAGTGAAGTGGTTGGCGGCTTTGTAAATATTTAATGTTAAGTTAGTGTTGTCGTTTGTGTTGTAAAATATACGTTAATGGTTTTGTAAAGTGTCAGATTCACATATAATGGGTAAGGAGGCTCGCAGTGCCTCCGTACACAACTTAGGGATACTAACTTCTTTAATCCGTTCTTCATAATATTCAGGGAAAACATCAGGTTCTTTAGGTTTGTTTTCTTTTTTAGATGTGGGATATAAGAAATTTATAACATCATTTTTATTCATTTTTCCATCATAATCAAATTCATTTAAGAACTCCGCGAATTTTTGACAATTTCTTAAATAATATTTATCAACTTCATAACCCGCCTCCTCTAATATATCCTTTATTTCCTCATTTGTGAATCCTGAATTTTTAACATCGTTAGTTTTGACGCTCATTTCATACAAAATAAAAATAAATTATTCAAATCATTAATTTCATAAATTCATTTAATCATTAGTTTTAATTTCTTTTCTTTTTCTCGTTTATGACTCCATTGATTATGACTTCATTGATTCCATTCATGATTTAAACAATGTTTAATTAATCGTGGAATATCTGACATCATCTATATATAGCTTCTTTTATAAAAGATGAAATATATTTTTTATGTATGGGCTGAGTGTAAATGTCTTACAATTTTGAAAATTTTTAAATCTTGATTTATTCAAAAACGTAAGAATAAAAACCGTAAGAATCATACATTTTTTACTTCATATGTTAAAAAAATGATACAAAATCATTCAATATTGTATGAATTCTTAATTTCTTTTACTCATGAAAATAATTATTTCTAATTTCTTTTACTCTCTCGTACATACTAGATTTGAAGAATTCAGAACATTTCCCATAATCTCCTAAATGTTTTCTTATCTTATTGGTTTTCCATTCATTATATGAAACTGTATAAACTTTATCTTTATCTTTGCATCTTTCATCACTTCCAATATATTTATATTTCAATTTTGATTTATTGGTTTCATATTCATTAACGTTTAATAATTCACAGTCTTCCTTTTTAAATAAATGTTTTATGTATTCAGGATTAACAATTCTATAATATTGCTTCCCTTTAAATCTTTGAATATAAACAGGAACACCATCCTCTAAAATTCGATAATCTATTTTATCTGGTTTTACTTGTTGGGTCATTTATGTAAGAATAAAAAAATAAATTATTTTAAAAATAACTTTAATTTTTTTAATGGTTTATAAATAAATATATTTTTTATTTCATATGTCAAAAAAAATGATACAAAATCGTTCAATATTGTATGAATTCTTACGTTTACAAAAAAAGTCACAAAACCCATCCTATCCTACTACTATTTGATTTTATATTTTATCATATTTACAAATTAACAAAAAGAAACAAATGTTAACGCATTACCGAACAATTTATCATGTTGATATTAATTACAATGAAAAATTATTTTTTTCATTTTTGATATTTTCGAAAAAAAAACCAAACAAGTTTTACTTCTTCATACTGATAACAGTATTGATGAAGTGGAAAAGCTTCGTAAGAGAAGATTTTCTTGTATCGTATTTTGTTGTATCATGAGGCCCATTTTTGAAATCAACGACCTCAATATGAGTATCTGGAAATCGTTCTTTCATAGATTTGGCCCAGTTAATGTTATTTATAGGAATAACAAGGTTATCAATCATTCCCTGAATGAATAACATATGTAAACCAGTCGGATATAGATTATCGTTATCTTTACAAAAGTTCATGGCCTCAAATACTGATTTCAAGAGATAAGGAGTGATATATTTGTTAACGTAAGGAGATTGGAGCACCATCTCTTTATACCCATCATGGTAACATGATTTCCTTACATCTAATCCAGTATCTAGTTGTAAACTCGGATAGATTAAATTTGAAATTGTTAAAAACGATTTCATTACGATATTTTGCTTTAAAATACCAGTAGTTTCAAGCCAAGGCGCATGCAATATAATACCCGCAAGCATATTTACTTCTGTTGAATGTTTAAGTGCGAATGTTAAAGCAGCTAATCCTCCTAACGAATGACCCATAAGGAATATGGGTTTAGAAGGATATAGAATTGCGGCATATTGTATGAGTTCTTTCGTTTCTTCGATTATTTCCCAAACTGTTGTGTAAGAACGAATTCCTGGCGATTTTCCGTTACCTAAATGATCTGTGGCTAGTGCAGCTCCTTTATGATTTGGTATTTCTCTTAAAAAATTGGCATTAAAAGCAACACAATTGCACAAACCGTGTAAAAATAATAAAATGTAGTCTGGTTCGCCATCGTTACAACGCCAATGGCATCCACAGACATGGGATTTTCCAACAGGAAGTTCAAATTCTTCGCCATCGAAATCTCCTGACCAATTTACTCCATTTATATCCATAAGATTTTATTTTTGATAGCTAAAAAGTGACAAAATTTTTAACTCACATTCATTACAGATTAAATTTACTGTGATGTCTCAATGTACTCATATATATTTCGTAATTTCTCTCAATATTTGATACATGGAAGATCAATTCTTATAACTTTTTTTCATTGATATTTGCACCATGTGAAATAAGAAGTTCTATTGTTTCTTTACTATTATTAATTGTTGCATAATAGAGTACGGTTCTTCCATCTTTATCTTTTTCATTGATATTTGCACTATAGTAGTAGGATAGGATGGGTTGTGTGACTTTTTTTGTAAACGTAAGAATTCATGCAATATCGAGCGATTTTGTATCATTTTTTTTAACATATGAAGTAAAAAATGTATGATTCTTACGGTTTTTATTCTTACGTTTTTGAATAAATCAAGATTTAAAAAATTTTCAAAATTGTAAGACATTTACACTCAGCCCATACATAATGAAATAAAAAATAAATCATTAAAAAATTAACATTAATTTTAAAATAATTTATTTTTTATCTTTTATAAAAGAAGCTATATATATAGATGATGTCAGATATTCCGCGATTAATTAAACATTGTTTAAATCCTGAATGGAATCAATGGAGTCATAATCAAAGACCTCATAAACGAGAGAGTAAAAGATTCACTACCATAATGAAATAAAAAATAAAAAAATAAACTTTAAAAAATTCAATGTCTCAGAATCAACATTGAACTTTAAGGATACCCTTACATTGCGTAGTTAGAAAGAGAATATGATATTGTCATGATTGCTAAAGTTTTAGGCTCCAGAAATGAATATACATCAAACTGAAACAATTGATAAATTGAATGAACTTTTGAGAGGTTCTCAAATAAAAAAAATTATCTAATTTTTTACAATATTACTATTATTTTATCCACATATGTATATATAGTAATTTGAGAAAACTTTTAGGAAAAAATAAGTTTAATAAAAATCTGAATTTTACTTGTTGTGGGATTGTTATTAATTGACACTCCAGACGTATTACTAATAGTTATGCGTATGCAATTAAAGTATTTCTGATGGACAAAATGTGAGATTTATATCAGATAATTCATTTCTACTATTAAGTTATTCATTTATGAGTTTGCACTTATTCGCACTAAATAAATAACTATTAAAAATTGTTTTAATTAATTGACACCATATAATAGAGTGAATTTTGTTTGATCAAACAACAATAGATGATAGATATAAAGCCAAGAAACTTGCTATTAATATGCTCTACTTGCTATTTCAATGTAAGTATGATATTTTCTAAATGTTTCGTTCAGATAACTTAGATATATTAGTCAAAATTTGAAATTTTAATAGCACATATATTAAAAATAATTATTATTCATAAAAGATTAATGAAATAGTAAAAAAAATCAATCAAATTATAAAAATACAACATTTAGAAGAATTCTTATTATCCTTCAAAAAGTCAGTATTTCTGCTGTAATTTTCTACAACATGTGTAGTTATTGCACTTTGTCTATGGATTTGTATATATGTTATATATAAATTATATATCTAAACTGCCCATAAGTGCAATTTTTATATAAATTGTTTATTTCTTTAACAATTTCATATGAAATATGCTTTTTAAGCGTATCAAAGCTGTGTTCTTAATGTGCATGGATATATCAAGAAAAATGTCGAAAAAAAATGTGAATTCACAAATTCACTGAATTTTCACTGTTTTTTGAATTTTGCTACAGCACTAATATTAAATAATACTAAAATCTTCTGTCTTTGTAAAAGAATAAATTCTGACAAAAAGTGCTCGTTTAAATTTAATGATCATCTGTATGACTAAGTGGTAAAAAGTGTTTATGACCAAAAAAGGGTTACATGCTTAGTCTATTTTTCTGACAGGATACTCTAGATTTACATGATCTCTATTTCATATCTCCGTTTTTAGATTCTTCGACAGATTTTATGATAGAAAACCAAGATTAACAAATTTCCGGCATGTTAATGAAGAAATCTGCAGCTACCCTCAATATTATTTCAATAATCAGTATCGTTTCTCTTACAATTTATTTTTTTCTCAATAATTTAACAAGAAATAACAATACACACTTGGTTTTACGTATAAAAGCTAAGTGTCGAACTTAATCAACTTTACTTACTTAGCAAATGAATATTTTTGTGGTTGCGAGTTCTGAATGCTGAAGTTTTAGATTTCTCTATAAATGATATCATTGCACTTACAATGTTGTTCCAGCCTATCGCATAAATCATAGAAAATCCAAAAAAAAAAATAATATAAAGAAAATTCATGTCATGAAGTTCAAAAAATACCGTGTAACATTAAAATTTGTTATGCATAATACATTTTAGCTATTATTGATTTTTTTTAATTTTCGAGAAATTGAATGGTGAGTCCGATAGAGAAATTTTTAAAAATCCTAGTGCCTCATAGAAGTAATTTCCCTCGTCTCCCATACTTCCAAATGTATGCATATGACATAAACTTTTATGCATTACACAAATGGCCAATAATATCTATAGAGTAAAAAATTAGAAATTTAATTTTTTTATATGATAGTTATATTTCAGATTTGCGAGCGTAACTTTTTTCTCCATGGCATACTTGTTTTAAGAGCAAATGATCAAAATCGTCCTTCAATTATTGAAGGAGCTGATATCTTTTGAAAATTGAATTGAAAGGGTATTCAATTTTCAAATTTCCTCTCAATTTTGGAAACATATCAACTCTATGAATTAACAATTATGTGCCTTCACAGTTTATCAGTCATATAAGGTGCTTATAAAGAAAAAAGTTACGCTCGCAAAATATGTTTTTATATAGATTTCACATAAAATAATTATGTAATTTCTAAAAAGAATATTTTTGTTCTTGGATATTAAAGTGTATTGTAGTTTAAAAAGTTTTAAATATGTTGCTAAAATTTCAGGTTTATAGCTCATGTCTAGCATGACTTCTTCGTATGCGCAAAAAATCTGACACGTAAGGGTATCCTTAAGAAATTAATGATTATTTGAATTTATGATATCAATTATTTGATTTATTCTTTCTTCAATCTCTTCTATTCTTTTTGTTAAATCATCAATTTTCATTAATGAGGTGATTCTTGATTGAGGAATAGATTTCAAACTAACCACCCCTTTTATTTTTGAAATTTTGAATCCATCAACTTTAAACATTTTATTCAATTTACACGTTGTCAATTCTTCAAATAATTTTTTATTGTTAGCATAATAGTCATTAAATTCTTCAACAGATGAAAAAATTTTTATTTCAGTAATTGGTTTAACAACATTTATTTTTTGTTGAACATCTTCACTTTCATTAATTTCCTCCTCCTCTGTTTCATTTATTTTTAAAATTGGTTTCATTTATCATTAAATAAAAATTAGAATATAAGTGATGAAATATATTTTTTAATTAATATTAAATCAGAAATGGCGGCAGGATTCTTTAAAAAATTATGGGATGGAATTAAGAAAGCTGCGGGTTGGGTTTATAAAAAGATTATTAAACCCGTTGCAAACTTTTTGGCACCAGTAGCGAAAACGGCAGGAACTATCATAGGTGGAGTATTAGGTACTAAAGCAGGTAATCCGGCGATGGGAGCACAAGCAGGTAACGCAGTTGGTGGAATAGCTGAAGGAATACTTAATAAAATAGGAGGTAGATAGTGGAAAAATAAATATTATTTTTATCTTAGTATCGGTTGTAGTCTTTGATAAACTTTTTCTCCTTTATTTAATATTTCTCTTATTGGGGCAGCTTTTGGCGTTATTGATTCAGCAACGTCACTAATTGCTTCTTTATTCTTAAATATCCAATTTGCTCCCTTCTTCAATGTTTCCCAAACTTTACTCGCTCCTCTTTTTACTCTATCCCACAGTTTCTTAAATATACCTGCAGCCATAGTTGATTATTTCATCAAAATTAAAAATTCATTTTCATCTTTTAATTTTGATTTTTTATTTAATAATAAATGACGACTAACTATTTGGTGCCAAACACTAAACCGATTAATGGAAATGTATTTCATTCATTCGAAAAGATAAATGAAATATTCGCAAAGAATGACGGTAGAAGATATTATAGAGAACTTGAAAGTTCATGCTATGACTCTGATGCTCCATATTTTGATGATAAACAAACTCATTTAAGAATTACAAATCCGGCTCATGATGTGAACCAATTAGGTGACACATATATTAAACGCAAAGTTAAAGCAACTCTAGTTTCAAATAAAGCTTTCACATGTGATGCCGCTTTTAAATGCATGCGTTTATTCGTTGGTTACAAATCATCAAATCAAAGCTTTAAACAATTAGAAGTAGAAACCGAAAGAGGTGATGCCGGTTATCTTCAGATGGATTGCGCCCGTGAATCTTTCGCATTTGCAACATATAAACCAAAATCAGAAAGGAAAGTTAAAAAGTTTGTTCATTCGTTATATAATAATGTTCAAAAATATGATAACTCAGTATGTGGTAAATATATTGACCCTTCAGAAGTTTTCAAGAAGCAAATGAAGAAGTTGATGTCACTTTTGATATGATTATTCCGGTAAATGATTTGTTAGCATTTCAGGCGTTCGATGATTATCCTAAATCATTTGGTGAATCATTCTTAAATATTATGTTTTCAGGGATACTTTAGTATTTTGTCAGGTTGACCCGTTAAGAGTTGCTGATTTACAAAATTACGTTTATGAAAAGATAACTGATGAAAATTATGAAAAGATTATGAATCATGTTTATAAATATGATCGCAAATTCCAACAAATCGGACTTCCTGCCAAATTAATTACAAGCTTAGCCGCTACATCTGCTGACGCAACAGTTGATGACGTTATTATTTCATGCACAAAGATGGAAGTTTTAGAGGATAAATGCATTACACCAGGATACGGTTTAATTGAAGAATCAGTTAAAGCAATACCACGTTTATTCAGTAAGGAAGATCCATTCATGATTCCAGCTCAACATA